AATTCCATACCATACAAAACACAATAGCATTAATTTCTTATTTTAAGTTTGTAGTCCATGAATCTTAAAAAAAAAGAGACAATTATTCTGTAACAATAAAGTGCGTGGAGCGCGATACGCTGACGATATTTAAAAAAATAATATTTGCTGCTTTCGGCTGAAGCCGAAGTACGTTGGCCACAAATTTTTAAAATAATACAAAAAGTTTTCTAGATAAACACTAATAAATGCACTTAAGGTTGCCCTAGTCGATGGCACGAACTAAGTGGTGGGCGGGGTAAAAATGCATGCTATCTCAGCTGACATCACGTGCGGAAGGGATAGACGCTGTGATGAGCAGTAAGATGCTAGTGCGCACACACATACGCACTCCAGTGACGCAATGCGAGACGGCGTCGTCGCGTACCTACCTATGCGATTCATTTTTGAATAATAACATAAACTCAAACAGCAATTTGAGCTCCGTATCGCAGTGGCTTAGCAATGAGGCTGCGCTGGGCGCCGCGGGTTCGAATCCCGCACGGAACAAATATTTGTATGGCCTACAAATAGTTGTTCCGGGTCTGGATGTTTGTCCTTGTGCAATTTATGTTTGTAAACTGCCTCCACGATACTGGAGAAAATCCTACTGTGGGGGTAATGTATTTTAAAAAGAGAAAGGAGAGAGAAAACAAATTAGTGTTATTCATCATCATCATCATCATTACAGCCCTTCACAAGTCCACTGCTGAACATAGGCCTCCCCCAAGTAACGCCACAAAGCACGGTCCTGAGCCACCTGCATCCATCGACTTACTGCATGTCTTACCAGGTCGTAACTCCATCTAGTGGGGGGTCGCCCTACACTACGCCTACCGGTACGAGGCTGCCACTCGAAGAACCTTTCTTCCCCATCGGTTATCGGTTCTTCGAGCTATATGGCCGGCCCATTGCCACTTTAGCTTACTAATCCGTTGGGCTATGTCGGTCACTCTGGTTTTACTGCGGATATCCTCATTTTTGAGCCTATCACGCAGAGAAACTCCGAGCATAGCCCTCTCCATAGCTCGCTGAGCGACCTTGAGCGTCCTCATACGGCCAGCAGTGAAGGACCACGTCTCAGATCCGTAAGTCATCACTGGCAACACGCACTGGTTATACACTTTAGTTTTCAGAGATTGAGGTATACCTGACGAGAAGATGTGTCGTAATTTCCCAAACGCTGCCCAGCCGAGTTGAATCCGTCGATTGACCTCTCGGTCGAAGTTGGACTTACCTAGTCGGACTATTTGTCCCAGGTAAACGTACTCGTCAACAACTTCAAGCATAGTGCTCCCAACAACTACCGGCATAGGTGTGACATGGACATTAAACATGATCTTTGTTTTGTCCATGTTCATCTTAAGACCTATGCGTTGGGAGACACCATTTAGGTCATTGAGCATAGTGCTAAGGTCCTCCAGCGATTCTGCCATAAGGACTATATCGTCGGCAAATCGAAGGTGAGTGATGTACTCGCCATTGATGTTAATACCGTATCCTTTCCAGTCCAGTAGCTTGAAAACGTCTTCCAACGCAGCGGTGAAGAGTTTCGGGGATATAACATCACCCTGTCTTACATCTCTCTGCAGTTGGATAGGTTTTGAACTCTGGTTCTGTACTCGGATAGCCATCGTAGCCCTACTGTACAAACACTTCAGCACCTCGATATACCGACAGTCAACTTGGCACCGCTGAAGGGACTGTAGCACCGCCCAAATTTCGACGGAATCAAAGGCTTTCTCATAGTCCACATATGCCAGGCAAAGTGGTAGATTGTACTCTTCGGTCTTCTGTACAATCTGCCGCAGGGTATGTATGTGGTCTATGGTACTGAAGCCTTTTCGGAAACCGGCTTGTTCGGGAGGCTGGAAGTCGTCGAGTCTGCGTGCGAGACGATTCGTAATGACTCTCGAAAATAGCATGTAGACGCGGCTCAGAAGGGAAATCGGTCTGTAGTTGAGAGTTAAGAGAGCGTTGTCGCCTTTCTTAAAGAACAAAACCACCGCGCTTCTGCTCCACGCCTCCGGAGTAGTGCCGCCATGGAGGACGGAATTGAAGAGCTTCTGAAGGACTTCAAGTACCGGTGTTCCACCCGCTTTCAGAAGCTCCGCTGTAATTCCATCCTCTGGCAAAAACTTTGGAGCCCTGGTTCCGCTCGATCGCTTCTTTAATACGAGAAGTATTAAAGTTGCGTAAGTCTCGCCGCATGCATTTGGAGATCTGTCTGTTCAGTTGCCTGTATGCTGTCAAATCTGTTGACGATTGCAGCCTCATTCCCGTCTAACAGCCACGAGATTAAGAGTGTGATCGGAGAGTTTTTGTGTTCTGCTGCGGCGGGTCTTTCAGAACTTAGCTCCGACCGCATGGACAGTTTCCACGAGCTTGTCATTCATATCGTCCACTGTATTGCAATCTTCTAGGCACTGAAAGCGGTTACGTAACTCGAGCTGAAAGGTTTCGGGATTCTGGATTAGAGCACGAGGGGGACGGAGCGTTGACTTCATTAGACGAGACCTCTCCAACTTAACGTTTAGGTTCAGTGTGCCTCTAACCATTCGGTGATCGCTGCCGGTTTTCACCCTTGCGATCACTGAGACATCACTGAACAGTTGGCGTCTGGTCGTCATAATGAAGTCAATCTCATTTTTTGTCGAACCGTCGGGGCTCGACCAGGTCCACTTCCTGTGGGGCCGCTTCTGGAAGAAAGAGTTCATCATAAAGAGTCCCTCTTTCTCCATAAAGTCGGCCAGCTGCTGGCCCCTTCGGTTCCGTTGCCCTACTCCAAATTTCCCTAACTTCAGCTCACCGTTTTCTCTTGTGCCTAGTTTTGCGTTGAAGTCTCCCATTAACACCGTGTAGTGGGTTTTGGAGGAATGTATGGCTCTGGAAATATCCTCATACATTTCCTCCACCTCCTCATCGGGATGTGCCGAGGTTGGTGCGTAAACCTGTATGACCTTCAGCGAATACCGTTTGGTGATTCTGAGTATCAGGTACGCGACCCTCGTCGACACACTCCCAATCTTTACAACGTTGTTGACGAGAGACTTGTGGACGATAAATCCGACACCTCCTTGGGACAGATGGTCGCCCTCCCGGTGATAGAACAAGTTGCCGGACTCGAGGATTGCCGTGTCCTCCCCCTCTCTTCGGACCTCGGATAATCCAATAATATGCCAGCGCAACTTGTCTACCTCTTCTTCCAGCTCCAATATCTTCTCGTCAGTCCTCAGGGTGCGTGCGTTATATGTTGCCAGGTCGAGTCGTCGTAGGTGGCAACCGAACCTCCACCGGAGATTCTTAGCACCCCCTGCCCCGCCGTTACCATGGTCGCCACCGTAGCCAGGAATAGCGGGGCCGCCGGGGACTGGGGGCCGTCTGTTTGCGTCGTTATTCATGGGGGGGATATTTGCCATAGTTGCCACGCTTGGCGAGAGGGGTTGGCAACCGCAGTTTTTTATTAAGTCACAGTTGTTATCAGGAAGATGCTGATGTGTTAAATATAGTGTTGAAATTCGGAATTTTCGACGCTTATAACTTTTAAACATACTCTTTTTTACTTTTTTGTTTCCATACTGGGCTAGATAATGATTAGACAAATTGAAATCATTTTTTATTTTGAACGTACACCATCAAACAGTGGAGTAATCGCCAGACTACGTTTGTATGGAAGAATAAGCGACTAGTGTACCCTTAAACATTCTTGTTCATTATAAGCATTGTACTTTTTAGGAGATCTTATAGGTCAAGTAAAAATAGAAGGAAACATCAAAGAAAAGTTGCATCGTTAAAGGAAGGATCCCAATATGAAGATGTAGCCCTTATAATGACTCTGCATAGTTTGATTACATCATCTAGTAACTTAAGGTTTCACATAAAAGATATAAATATTGCCTTAAATTGTTTAAACCAAGATAATCTGGCTTCGCAGTTACAGGTATTAAGAGCATTTTTACAATATTAAAATCATGAAAAATAAAATTATAAACTATTTAAGTAGTAGTGATGGCACTTTTTTTGTGCCTAAAAGTCCTAAGTAGGTATCACCCTGTTACCAAGCCAAATAGTATGTGTTTCGTTTTGAAATGTCTAGAGAGCCAGTATCACAGATATAGTAATAAAAAGACAATAGAAATGAATGACCAATGAATTTTATGCCTTTATTCGTTGAATTACACGTCCTTAATGAGTTTTTACTATTATGCTGCAGTTCACCATTATAATAACATAAATTCACGTACGACGTTCCCCGCGCAAATAAATCACAAAATGGTGAATTATATTCAACACATAATAGCGGCGACAAGGTCACGCGTCTATGCGACTTCTATTGTCTTATTATTACGATTTCTGTGGCCAGTATAGTCATAACAGGCTGTGGAGCATTTCATTTTAGTCCTCGGAGGTGACAATGCATCTACGTCATTTAAGTCTTCGTCATTTGAAGTTGGCTGCAGGTGTCCATGGACTGCAATAGCCACTTACCAGCAGGTGGACTGTAAGTTCGTTTGTCTCGTCAGCTTTATATAAAATAATTATGAGTACTTTTTTTAGAATAGTATGGATAAGTTGATAAAAGAAATGAAGGATAGTTTGAAAACAATCTGGACCAATGATTTAATTCTACAAGCTACTAAAGCTGCAATCGAAGCCGAAAATTTACCTGAAGGTTCAAATATTATAGCTGACAGCTTATCTTTCCTCGGTAAATATAATTATTAAAAAATTATTATTGAAGAAGTGAGAATATAAATTTACTTTTAAATACCATTCTTATTTCAGAGCCTCATGTAAGGATAGCTCCAGTTATCCAAGATGTAAAGTGGAAATTAGAGGGTCTCAGTTAGATAGTAGTACAGTTTGTGTAAAATGTATATAATTAGCTTAAAAGTAAGTAAATAAAATGCAAAATATTGTACAATAAATTAATTTTATTTTTATTACATGTTTTTCTTTACACTTATGCATAGCTATTAACATCACTTAATATAACATCTCGAAGAACAAAAGAAACACTCAAATCTAATACTGCTATTTCTGTTATTATCAAACACTACAACCCTGAAGTAATCTTTAAGTTCAAATTCCCGAACGACATAGTATTCATCACTAACAACAGGGTTTCCACAAAGACACATGTTAGCATTATCCAAAAATTCAACCAATGTTAATGGTAGTATGTTAGGAGCGTAAAATAGTTTATGTTTCAACACTACTTTAGAAGCTAAATGTATAAGACTGTTAATGTAGAGTTGCCATGCTCCTAGTTTATTTTCTTCAGATTGTATTTGTGTACAATAGTTGAAGTTGTTTGACGAAAGGTCTATGTGCTCCAACCGACATTGCAATAAACTACATGGCAATGATTCCAGCTTATTGCGCGATATATCCAGATACCTAAATACGTATAAAAATCATATTTAAAAATAAATCTCATAGACAATTCTTACTTGTTTCAAAGGTCCTATTGGTACCTTAAAGTTTGAATGCGCCCAACTGTTGCAGGTATTTTTCTTATTTCATTGTTATTTACTTTCAGTGTAACTAGTTTTCCCAATTTCCATATTGCTTTTGGTAAATATTTAATTTTATTGTCACTTATGTCTAACAATTTGAGAGTCTTAGTTATCTGAAAAAGATAAATCACTTTTTATGTAAATGCTAACTTGCATGCCATTAAATATTATATGATTTCAAGATAAACATTTTAAGATATTTTGTAGTTTCATATATTTAAAACGGCGGATTACTAAACTTTCACTGTAATTTTATTTTTTAGAACTTGATCTTTTCTCTGTAGAATGGGTGACAAATGAGCACGCAGTCCAACTGATGGTAAGTGGAAGAAGTTAAGATTCATTTATTGTGCACTCCAGCAGCATATAAACAGTTTTTCAAGACATGCCAGCTCTGGCTGCCAGCACTGGCGGAAATAGAGCACCTGCCTATTTTTCAAGCCAGTGACCTCCACCCGCATGTTCCGCAACCCCCTCTCCAGAATAAATAATTTGTAATATAAAAAATTTACTGTAATATATATTAATTGATATTGTACAAATGTGATGTATGTACCATATGATAAACATTAATTTAAGTTAAAGTTTAAAAAATAATTAATTTAATACAACGATTTACAAGAATATCTAGGAATGAAATGAATTCATTTGGCCTCGTCTAAACAACAAGGGGATAGGTCAGCGTTGGCTTATCTGAGGACTGGTGCCAGCGTCACTGGCTATGTCTAAACCTTGCTTAAAGCATATCTCTATTAACAGTTAGCAGATACCTCCTGAATTCTTTTGTATGGCCCAAAAATTTATAACAACGGTTTGTGATCCATAGGTAGGATAAAAGGTATAGACCTGCCAAATAAATATTTGTGGAACCTCTGTACCCCGTAAAAGGATAGCAGTTGCTTCTTTTTGTATTTGAGAATATTTTTTCTCAGCATTATTTAACATTTGTGATGCAAACAAGATTGGCTTTTCATTACCTGCACTATCCTTTTGCGATAGTATTGCACCTAACCCGTTAGTTGACGCATCCACGGTTAGTATAATTTTTTCATTTGGATTAAAATGTGTTAAAACCTGTTCCGACGGTAAAATTTTTCTTATATTATCGAACGCATCGTTCATTTTATCGTCGGAACAGGTTTTAACACATTTTAATCCAAATGAAAAAATTATACTAACTGTGGATGCGTCACCTAACGGGTTAGGTGCAATATTATCGCAAAAGGATAGTGCAGGTATTGAAAAGCCAATCTCGTTTGCATCACGAACATTAAATAATGCCGAGAAAAAATATTCTCAAATACAAATAGAAGAGCCGCCGTTTCTTCCTCTCCCATGCATGCTCTGCACAGGGGGCTATCAGTAACACCTATGGTAAACAAATGTTTGTTAAAAGAGCCATGTCCTGTGAAAGCACTTGTTACTATCCTGATCTGTGACTTGTTCAGTCTCATTAGAACCTTAGTTAGACGACTGTTTATTTCAGGCTGGGCCTCCCTACAGTCTACAAAATTTTTCCAAAGCTGAGCGTGTAAATTATTGAAGTATCTATGTACCAGTGAAGGAATGTAGCCAAAGGGGAATGGTATTATAGGTTCCGGCCCTATAGCTGCCAGAGCCGATTCCCTTCTGGCCAGTTCATCTGCTGCATCCTTGCCTCTAGATCTACTGTGTCCCTTGATCCATTGCAGAGTCACATTGTTGTGCTTACACACCTCATTAAATCATTGATGGCACTCATATATCAGTCCCGAGTTCGCCACATTACAACTCAGAGCTTGTAGTACCACCATACTTTCGGTCAGTATTCTGATGGAGAAGTCTTTCACCTTCCTAGCATCTACTGCTATGGCCGCTTGGATGATACCCATGCATTCAGCATGGAAGATTGTGTTATGGTTACCCTGCGGTGTGCATATGTGGATATTAAGTTCTTCAGAGAAAGCCCCAGGCCCCACACCTTCATTTGTCTTAGAACTATCCGTGAAAACTCTGAGCTCTTTTGGTCCCAATCCTTTCAGCTGGTCAGTTTCCTTGTAAGATAGGAATTTTTGAGTAAATTCTATCAATTATACCTGTATGGGGGACTCTACTCTTGCTTAAAAGATTTAGGGTCTTGAATCTAATGGCAGCTAAAGTTGCTTCTTGTTGTATATGTAGATGAAGCGGTGTTAGCTCCAGTATAGCTATAGCCTCCAGAGCTGCTGTTGGTGTAGTTCTTATGCAGCCCGTGGCAGCCACACAAGCCAATCTCTGGTAACGCTGAAGCTTTTGTATAGTGGTGGCTTCGTTAGTTTTGGTCCAACATACCAGAGAGTAATTTTTGGCGTGAAACAAATCATGTTTCTGCATTGCCAGAAAGTTAAACTAGCTTTGTAGATTTTGTTTTCTATGTGTTTTTTCCAGTTAAGTTTACTGTCCAAGGTAACACCTAAGTATTTTACCTCAGAGGACAGCTGAAGTTTCGTGCTGAAAAGACTTGGGAGATGATAGTTCAGATTCAGCATTCATTTTTGTGTGAACATTTTTAGGTCCTATTCCCTGCACCATCTCTCCACAATACGGAGAGCCGCTTGGGTCAGGTGGCACACAATGCTTGCTGTCTTTCCAGAGACTAGTATTATCAGATCATCTGCATAACCTACTGTGTAGAAACGATGATTTGCTGATGAGTTCACTAATGACCATATTCCACAGGAGAAGTGAAAGAACCCCACACTGCGGGCATCCTTTCATGATCTGAATTGTCTGAGATTCACCAGCAATCTTGGTTGTTCATGTACTGAGCATGTTTACTATCCAGTCAATCAGTGCCGGTTCAACATTATGTCTACTTAGTGCACCTTTTATGCTCGAGAAGTTTGTTCTGTCAAAAGCTTCTTCTATGTCTATGAAGGCTCCACAGCTTTTGCTAGTGTGATACCCGAAATATCCTTCTTGTATAATTTTTATTTTCCCACTCCCAGCAGCGTTCCCATAATAAATCAGTCCCTTAGTGCTTCTTCCACATTGGAGAATTGGCAGTGAGGGGTTAGACCGCGCAATCTAGCGATGGTGACTTGGACTGTTGGGTAGCAGCATAGAAATAGTGGCGTTCGCTAAATGCAACCTGCTTTGTTGTGAAATGAGTATCCAGGATGGTTAGGATATCAAACGGGATTTGCTGGAGATCCTTTGGTACAGCGAAATTTGAGTCAAGCTTGAACATACCGTCTGCAAATGCGCTGAGAAGAATGGCTCGCTGTTTTACTCCTGTGGTATCATTTGAGGCATTTATATCGTTGGCAATGAACCATTGCGTGATTCTGGTTTTAAATATCTTCCACGATTGTATTCGTGGATAAATGTTGGAAGGGAACCACAGCTAAACATTTTTTTTTAAATTACAAAAGCGGGTAAGAACTCGTCGCCAATGTTTAGTTTGCGATATGGAGCGCTGGAGACTAGTGAAACAATTGATGACTATCAACATACTGCTTTAATTGCAAGCATTATTATTTAGCGCAGACGCAGCCAAGTACATACACAACAGAAATGTGATTCCATCCTACTTTTTATTTCTTGAAGATTGGTTTTTTACAACCTTTAACAACACAATTCGACATTTTTCTTTAAAATTTACTAATTATTATAGCGTGACACTCAGCGTGCTGGAATAGCTCAACTGACAAGGTAAGGCATAGTTTTACTGGCCTCAGTGTGTTGTTCAGTCGGGCTCTGTCTTGACTTTTTATCTTGTCTGGGAAAGTTCATGATTATAATTTACCTTATATATTAACAAATTTTTAAATGCGCTAATTATAACATTATTAATTAGATTTAAGGAGCCAAACAAAATTATAAAACAAAAAAATATTGTTTATTGTTTTTACCACTTTGTACTTCTTCTTAAGGTCTTTGGATTTTGCTAAATTATTTCACTATCACCAGAAGTATTCCAAACTTACTTTACAACATTCAAAACAATTAACATCTAATTTATTTTAGAACTTGTGGCTTATACATGACACGACATGACATACTTACTCGGTTTGTATATTTTATGTTAACATAAATATTTTTATATAAATATAATATAAATGAGAAACATGTGAAATTCTTACATTTGGACCTAATAACCACCTCCAGTCGACATTCAGTCCTAAATTATTTTTAGATACATACAACTCCCTCAAACTTGTCATCCTTCCTGAAAGTAATACATTTATTACTCGAGTTACCCACCAGTTAAAACTACATTATATAGGTACTTAATTCTCCACAACACAAAGTACTTACTACTACTTAGTACTTACTGACTTACCCATTTCTGGTGGAAATTTCTCAATTTCATTATTGCTTAAGTCTAGGAGCACAAGACGGTTCAATAATAAAATATCCCTTCGAAAGTTACATATTTTCAGACCAGCTAAGTACAAATATTCTAATGTCCGAGGAAAGCCTTTAATTGGAAATTCACTTCTATCACGAATAGTCATTTTAAGTGGTGCACTTTCTACAGATGTAACACCTATATTGGCTAAGTTACTTAACTGGGAATTGTCCGTATCACCCGTTATACATGACTTTAGTAATCTTAAAAAACATTTTAATTGTATTGCTTCACTTTTAATACATATGTCATGCGGTGGTTCTTCAAATCTTATTGTAGCTTTTCCTTCATTTAAACATTTTACAAACACTTGCTTTATACATTTTATTCTGTATTTATTTCCACTTTTATTCGCTGACGAAAAATGAATTAGAAAAAAATCTTTGTCTCGTTTAGGTTCCTTTCCTAAAACTAAAGTTGATTTTAAATATTTTCCACTGGATCTAATATTAACGTTAGCGTGAAGTCTATTTACAACTTCTACATTACACACCAGTTTCATTTTAGTTAGTAAATAAAGTAAATTAAAATAATCCTTGTAAAATTTAAAAACACTTCTATCCTTCTGTCATTCTGTCATAATACACGCGTTACCCGCCAAATCATAGATATTTTTTATTAACTGGCTTTACGGCTCTGGGTTCTAGCCTTTCTGAGCCTATCATTTCTTTCGGAATCTCAGTTTTATATTCTTTTTCTTCACAATATGCTGATGCGTCACATTGCGAAGCCCTTGGGAGATTTTGACGACAGCTCAACTCAGCGGACAGTTGATGACGACAGCCAATCAAGTTCATGAGGCACCCAAACTATCAAAATAACTTGAGGTTTATATCGACATCACAGCACTTGTTTCGTCGTTTTCTCTAACAGTTCACACGTGCGAACACTTAATTGACAAAATCGCATCACTTTTACGAATAAAAATCCTCTTCAAACCATTATTTAAGCGACAAAACAGGAGCAACAACCCGTCTACGGCCAAGTTCCCGCCAAAACTCATCATAGATATTATACCATATTATACTAAAGAGTATCGTTTTCAGTTTAAACAAAGGTACTCCGTGGAATATAGTAAATAACATATAATTTTATAGAATACTATAATAGCCCCTCTACACGATGGGCTATCGCGATGGCCCACTATGATGGGCCAGCGTGTGGAGGGCGTAGTTGTGTCGGATGGCTTATTTTTTATTTATTTATTTCAATCAACAAGGATCATAGGGTAAAATTACATTAATTCAAATCTATTCTAATACTAAAATTATAAATCATTACTAATATTATGGCGCGTGAGATGGTCTTGGGGATGACGACGGTGTCAGTTTTTCCACCGCACATCAATGATAGTGGGCCAGCGATGGCGGTACGCATCTACACGTGACCCATTCTACAGATTTGAGTGCTTGACGGTTGATTGTGGACGTTCATGTTTTGTTTATTAATTAACGAATTAAAAATGTCGAATATGTGGCCTCATAATGAAGTTATAAAATTTTAATCATAGAGCTACTAAAATCAAAACATATACATATACATAATTTGTACTTTGTTTATTTTGAATAATTATTTAATTATTTGTGTTTAAAGAAAATTGACTTAGTATATATTTAGTTCTATTGCGATGGATAGATAACATCCAACATCTTCTTCTACGCCATTTCTTTTTGATAACTGTATTCTTGTGCACATTAAAAAAATAACAGTACGTGTTGTATAGATATATTACCCAGCGGTTAATTCATCCACGTCCATCTCGAAAAACGTTTCGATGACAACGGAATGTCACAATCGTGTAGTTGCGTTACAACCATCGCATATCCATCTCGCTGGGTCAGCGCTGGCCCATCGTGTAAGGAGCTATAATACATAATAGAACAGGGCAATGGGTGGAGCCCGTGTGGCCACTAACATGTCAATCATGCAGGTTAGAGAACAGGATAACGATCGCTGTAGAAAATAGTGTCCCAGAAATATGGGCAAAATAAGTGAAGTACTGCGATCGATAAGTTGTCTCAAGAAAAACAAGCTGTTGTGCGCTAGTTTGAAATGAATATAATATCATTCAAAGAAAAAAAAAGAAAATAACGAAATTATTATAATTTATTAATACATAAATTATAAATTTTGTTTTTTAATTTTAATTATTATAAATATTGTAAATTATAACAAATGTAAATTATTCATTATTATTGATTTATTATTTTTTAATAATATTGCACCATTTTATAATGGTTCTTTTTGTCAATAATTAAAATAATTACTTCGCAGATACTAGGTACTTATCGACGTCAGCGCGGCTACAAATTCTACAATTTTCAGGGACAGGCGGGCTATGCTTTAACACGTAGCGATCGTACTCCTGTTCCCTAACCTCCATGATGTCAATCCACACCTATAAATTTCAACACAATCAATCGTTTTCAACTTTTGTGTCAAGCGTCGCTGCATGAAAATTATTTAGGAAATGGCAAATTGTCCAATAATAGACATAGTAGGAGACATATCCTACAACCAGTAAGTCGAAACTATTTATATTTTGTAAATATTAGAAACAAAAATAAAGAAATATTGATGTGTTTAAAACATTAATCAAAAGTCTATAAGTTCGCTCAGTCAAAACTGCGAATCGGGTTTGTAGTAGTCTTAATACATCGTAAATGCTTGTATGTGTGCTCCTGGTGACACCGATTCTCGTACAAAATAAGGTTGACAACTTGACAACCATTCTTTTGTGTATTATAGTATTCTATGGTAAATAACATGGAGGTCAAATAATATAAAATACGCCAAATACTAGACTTGGGTAAAAATATTGAAATATCGATATTTTCTCTAAAAACTATCGATAGTTATTGTCATTATTTTAATCGCGATATATGTATATTCAATATAGTTCATTTTAGAGTATGGAATTAATATCTATTTCGATATATATTTTAATGTTATATTTATTTTATAATTTTATAGATAAAACATTAAGCAAAAAAACCAAGTACAAAAGTTGTTGTTTTTTCTTTCGTCATCAAAACGTATAGTAGGTAGTAAAATTTTTGCCTTCACCCTACTACATCCCTACAAAAGTCACGATATATCGATATTTATCACACGATAATTATTTTTGCTGTTCGATACGGTTTAAAAATATCGATATATTTTTTCACTTGTAAATCCCTACCAAATACCACACAGCAGTTAACAGACCATGGAGTTTTGTCGGGTACCTGACCGTCGACAAATTGTTGCTTCTATTTTATCGCTCAAATAATGGTTAGAAGTGGATTTAGATACGTATACAAGTATGATACGTAAAAAGTAATGGGATATTATGGTTTAAGTATCTGCACAAGTGAACTAGAGAAAACAAGAAAACAAGTGCTTTGATGTTGATATAAACATCAAGTTAATCTGATCGCTTAGTAGCCTTATGCACTTGAGTGACTGTCGTCATCGACTGTAAGCAGGATAGAGCTGTCATCAGAATTTCCCAAAAACACGTACTGAGATGTATCAGCATATTATAAAGAAAAATCTATAAAAACGTAGATCACGAATGAAAATAAGGCGTAGCTTAAAAAACAAGCATCCATGTCAAAATCTTAACATAAAAAATCTACAGACCAAAGATAAATTCTCTGCGTAGAAAGAGAAACCTATTGAGCTATTGACTAATGATTAGCGTGGCCTCGAATGAGAAAGGACGAAAACGTAGTTTTGGGTTATACAATAATCTTTATGACTTTTAAACATATTTGGATAAAAATTTTGTTTGTTCTAAGAACTGAACTGAACAAGATTCACCAATCTTAAGATCACAAAACACTTTTTTCTCACTTAAAACAACTTGTGAATTCCTTAGATTGCTACGAACTGACAAAGTTGTTTAGCAAAGTGTAGTTTGCTAAATAAAAAACCGGCACGGAGAAAGGGACAAACAATCACACGATCCTGTCTCATTCCTATGCAAGACGTATGCATAAATCTATCTTTTTCGTGTGAGAATGCGAAATAAGGCGTCAATTTGTCTATAGGTTTCTCTGTCTACGATTCTCTGTCTACGTCATGGAAGTTAGAGAACAAGCGCCGTAGAAAATAGTGTCCCAGAAATATGGACACCATAAGTGAAGCGCTGAAATCGCTAAGTTCGCTCAATAATAGTCATTTTCAGTCTATTTTTTCGATCAGATGCTTAACCACTTTCACATCCACGCACAATAAAATATTTCACCATTTTTTAATGTTTCTTTTTGTCAAAAATTACAAAATTACGGAGCATGAAAATATTCTCACCAATGGCGCGAAGAAAATTTGTACATTATTCAACTAACTTCACCTACTTGTACTCATAAGCAGCTAACTTCGCAGTCACTACTCACCGACGTCCGCGCCGCTATAAATTCTACAACTTTCAAGGACAAGCCGACTATGCTTTAGTACGTAGCGATCGTTCTAACCGTATCGATCGATCAATCGTAACTTTAAGGTTAAAGAACAGGAGAACGAGAAAAGAAAAATAGACTAAAATGATCGAACTTAGCGATTTCAGCGCCTCACTTATGGTGTCCATATTTCTGGGACATTATTTTCTACGTTGATCGTTCTCCTGTTTATACGTAAATAAATATTGTTTTTTGTACTAAGATTTTTACCCTAGATGCTTGTTCTTTAAGCCATGTCTTCATTTCATTCAGGAGCTTCATTTGCATAGATTTTCTTTTATGGATTTAATAATGTATTTGGTAGATACGCAGAAAACATTTCATATTCCTCAAAAACACAGCATACACTTTCACTATCACTGTTACACACTTCACTAGCTAATAAAAACCTTTGAAAGTTAAATTGGCTGCATTTAAACAACAGGTGATGAATAGTTCCAAGATGATAAAGGCAAAGTATGTACAAAATATCTGTAAATACCACCACCACGTTCACAGCTTTAAAGATATTTCGACCTGGATACTTCCATACCACTTGCCTTTGTTTTCTTGACTTTCTTTCACATATCTTTCTATGATAAACGGATATTCTTTCTTATTTCAGTATAACAGCCAATTAAAGGTAAAAGTGAAGAATGGCTCACACACTGACTTCTATATTGCTAGCGTAAGGACTGGACCGACTGCGCAACTAAATCGGACCAATGCGCTGGTCCTAAAATGACAGCTTAGGGCCAATACGATTTGGTCGACAGTGATGCGAGCGCAGGACAGATTTACCTGTCATAAATATACCTAGTTGCGTGGTAAAAGGATGCAAAAATTACGATACAAAGATGAAAAGGAACATGGGATATCGTATCATCGGTAAATAATCATATCCGCACGATTGCTTGCGTAAAAAAATTGGTAGCCTACTTTGCCAGTAGGTCAGGACAGTGTTTCGCACGTTCGACCCGCCATCAACAAAACTTAATTTATAACTTACTCGAGAAGAGCACTTCAAAATTTTATATGTTATGCACAGCCATTAAAATAAGAAAAAATTCCTTACAAAATA